CGAGGAGATGCGCGGGTCTGGGTCGGAGGAGGGGCCCTTCCGCCGCCTCCTCTTGAGCCGCTGCTGAGCAAGGGGCGAGAGTGCCAGCCAAGGTGAGGGGAAAATTGAGGAGGGACGAGGGAGAGGAGGTTGGCGGGGGCTGCGGGAAGACACGTCCCCAGACCCTGGCATTCGTGGGCTCAGTTCATCTCCTCGCCCTTTCCTCGAGAGCCGCCTCTTGTTCGTCTCTCCCTTCGGCCCCCCTCACGGTGACGGCGGCGGCGGCGAGAGGAGAGTTTGCTCGCAAGGACGCGTGTGAGGGAACTTGAGGGGCGGAAGAGTGGTTCGGTGGTTCCCTCGAAGGCTGGAGCTTGCCATTCAGAAAGCAGGCGTATAAAAAACACTTTGTGAGAGGAATGGAGGCTGTCTTGGCCCGGGAAAGGAACGGGAAGTGCTGTGTGGAAGATACACCCGACCCTGTGTTGTCCTTCCCCCCCACCTTTAAAAAAAACCCTGGGATGGATCAGCTGTACAGGAGATTCAGTGTTTCACAATTCGTTTTGTAAGAATTGCTTAAGGAGTAGCCTTATTATGCGGGACCTGTTCGTGTTTAAGCTGTTACAGGACTCAATAGTTGTCTGTGGGGGAGCCTGTGTGGAAAGACTGAAGGGTAGATAAGCCTAAAAAGAGAACATTGAAGAACTGCATTTAGCCATTCCTAGGGAACCTGATCAAGACATAATCAGGAACAGTTGAATTGTTACCTTCAGTAATGCCTCCTCTTGGTTTACTCATTTTTAACTGTATTTCTGCAGAGGTGTCTTCCATTTTCACCCCCTTTAAAACATCTCACAAGCAGTTAACATGTCAATGAGATATATTAATGCACATTCATTGGGGTTGTAATTTGTTAAGTTTATGTCAAGCTGGTATCCATCACTATCCTGTTCCCTGCTTTATCCTTACCACAACCAGATGGCAGCCTGAAAGAAAGTCACTCAGTGAATTTCATGGCAAAGTAGCAATTGACTCCAACTTTCCCTATCTAACCTCTACTCTGGCTCTCAGTTGATTGTTGGTTATCTAATAAGTGAAAACAATTTTTGCTTTTTAAAAATGCTCCAAATTACTTATGAAATGTATTGACTTTATAAGTAGTAGTAGAATATGCAGTATTAAAGTCTGTCTTTAAAGAGGCATCTCCCATTCTTCTAATGTACAGGACAATTTGCCATTTCAGAATTTATGCTTATAGTGTCATGTGTACACCATGTAGAAAATGTACTCTTTTATACAGTACTTCTAATTTTCATGACATAACAAAAGTAAACAGAAACCAGCTTGTAATACCTTTGATTGACTAAGATTTCAGTAACTAGGTGATACACATAGTCATAGTTTGTCTGCTTAACACTCCTATGATTTGAAGTAGACTTTTGTTTATTTTAGAGGGAGTGATGTTTTCATCCTGTAGATGATTTTAATAATTGTTCTATGCAACCTTAAAGCATCATGCATTCTGGAAGAAAAACTGACAGAGGTTGTATCAGCTCACAGTCTGGGAATATGAACTGTTTTCATCTAAAATAGTTTCATTTGTTATCTGTAGTCTGGGAGAAAATCATATGGATTAACTTGCTGGTAATCTAGAAACAGCTGGAACTGAACGTTGATGTAAACTGAGTCAGAGATTCAGATGAGAGCTATAGTATTTGTGAAGTGATTTTGATTACATTTCCAGTGGAATGGAATGTATGGGAAGCAAACCATTACAGTATAATGAAATGAAAAATGGCAAAGGTTGCAAGTTGAATTGGCATTTTGTCCTGCATTGTATGAGATGAAACCTCAGATACCACAAGCTTGGAGTCTCCATATATGCAAGTTGAATTGGCAGTTTGTCCTGCATTGTATGAGATGAATCCTGGTGTCAGATACCACAAGCTTGGAGTCTCCATATTGGAATATTACTTTTAACAAAAACTCTAACAGTGCAACATGTGATCAGGATAGTTTTTTAAAAAAACTTTTCTTTTTTTTTTCTTCCACCCCATCAAGTTCTGCAATGTCCAGTCAGAAGATGTGACCCACAGGAGTCAGAAGGTCACTTGTTTTTAATATTTTAGTAGTCTGGTAAAGGTTTTACCCAGCATTCTTTTAGGATCATAACAAAATATAATGTTTCTGTACTCTTATTGACTACATAAACAAACAAATCTAGCTATTTATTCATTCCAAAAATCAATCTAATTAGGTTTGTTGTAGGTACATAATCATGGAAACTATGATACATTTGTGATACTTTAAAGACTGACAAGTTGTAATTGGCATAAGCTTCTCTGGACTGAAACCCCCTTCTATGGATACATGGAGGCGCTGAACCTCCTGTATTTCCATTCCATTCCTGTTATATTTTTTCCTTTCTTTGGTTCATCTACTGTCCATCTGCTGAGGCTACACTGCATGCATCTAAAGTAGTGGGCTGCAGACAGCAAACACTTATGTCACATAGAATTCATTAGTGTTAAAGGTGCTGTAGGATTTTTTGTTTTGTTTTTCCTGCTGCAGGCTATTAAGGTTATTTACTTGAAGAAAAATGTGATGAACTTGTTTCTCAACTGCAGATAAGTTTTTGGATTAAATAATATTAGTGACCATATGTGCCTACAAGCAATAATGGAAATTTTGCCTCTCTATGCTTATATATCTTGAATAATCTTCTTGCTTAGTGTTATGAAGTAATATGGACCTGTAGCTGTACTTTATGTCATCCTAGTACCTTGAAACCAGTATCATAATAAGCTGTTTTTATTCATGAGCACTGAAAATTCTGTGATGACTATTATGTCTTGATAATTGTTTTCTTAGTAGACAATTGCATGAGGAGTGATAACTATCAATTTCTTGTAAAATCACATGCGGCTTGAATACAGTATTAACATGGTAGAGCAGGCACTGGTTATGAGTTAGACTAATGCAGATTTACTTTTCTTAGCTTTTGTGATTTTGCTAGTTTTGGCGTAATGAAACAATTATTTTCTATTAATGAGTTCAAGTATTTATTAGTAATGTTGAGTTTTTCTCTTTTTAAATTAGGGATGCATAAAAATGCCACATATCCTTTGGGAAGATTGCATGGGTATGAATAAGCATCTATAAAGTCTGAGGAAGAAGTAAAAGGGAATCTCCCTTTCAGCAGCATACCTGATGTTGAAGGACTTCATCTTGCCAGTCATGGAAGAAGATGGCTGGGAATGGCTAGTAGCTCCCATTCAGCAGCTGATATCCTGGGGTGCATCTGCAGCCATGGTCTTTGGAGGTGTGGTGCCATACATCCCACAGTACCGAGATATTAAAAGGACACAGAATGCAGAGGGCTTTTCAACCTATGTGTGTTTAGTATTAATGGTTGCTAACATTTTAAGGATACTCTTTTGGTAAGTTTACTCTTCCACCAACATGAGTGTTTTCTTTCTACTTGATTTGCCAGTTATAGCTGTGAAAATATTGAGAATGAAATACATATTTTTAAATGTGCCAGATTCAATCCCAGTGAAAGTAACTAGTGCTGGATTCCTGTTTCTTGTTCTCTGTTTCTGTTTTTCATCAGGATGCCACATTTTACATACACTTTAAATTTGGAGAGTATGCTTTGGTCAAGACCAAAGTACTCATTTGGCAAGAGTACTGTGTATGAGGATCTTATACAATAGTATAGTCAGGATCTTAGAAGACAGTTGACGTAGTTATTTTATATTGTTTTATATTATGTTTCTGAAATAGACTTTTGCTTTTCATTAGGCAGGGTTGTTTTTACAGTCCAAGTCCACAGAATGACACATCTATTGCACGGCTATACCTGTAACGGGACAAAATGAGATCTTGCAGATGTCATTGGACAACAACACCCATCTTCCAAGGCAGCTTTGCCATGGTGAGGGAGTTGCAATTCAACAACCTCTGGAAGGCTGCAGTTTCCCACTCTGGTTATAAGGAGCTAGACAACAGGATATTCTAAATATCTTTAAGGCTGCAGGATATATTGTTTAACTTGTATCCTTCCTAATATTTCTACTGTTAATATCATGCCATGCCATTTCTCTGCTATCCTTACAGTATACACTTATCAAAATAGCATGAGTCAGTTATGTGGTGAACTTCTTAAAAAGGATAAAGCATTTTTATTTTATGCACTTACATTTTATAAGTTTTAAGCCCTTACTTTACCCTTGTCTGAAAGGAAGTTGGAAGATGGTGAGCTTGTTATCGCTTGTTGCACACATCTTAAAGTTGACCATTGGAGAGCTAGCTCTGGAGGACCTGGATTTAGTCCAGGATTTTTTGTTACTGATTCCAAATGTGTAGTATTAATACATATGAGTGATATGCTCTGAGATTGCAATTTTCAAGTGTGCTTATGTTTTGGAGGCAGTAGTCGAACAATTGTGTTGGAAGGATGTGGGTTAGCTTGATTTGCCATAATTCCGTTGCCTCCTTTTCTAACCTGAAATATACCGTATTTTTCGCTCCATAAGACGCACAGACTTTCCACCACCCCCTGTTTTGTGGGGAAAAAGTGCGTCTTATGGTGCGAAAAATACGGTAATCTTTGTGTTAATATGTTAGTGTTAAAAGAACTAAGATTTGGAGAGGAAAGAAATGACCGATAGGCACAATTTAAAGAGTTTAATAGTAACCTGTTGGAAGTTATAAAATACCATGAGATTATGGGATTCATCTGACTTTCAGGATTAGAGCGTCAGGCCTTGCCACAACTAGCACATGACATTCAATTTTACATCCCAAATGTCTGAGTCAATGTCCCATCTCAACACCACTCAAACAGGATGCAGTTTAATATAGTATCTGTTTTATAATGATAGTTTCAATTTTTACAGTCTTATGACTATCTGCTCTTTCCATAACCTGAAGAAACATCAGTTCTAGCACTGGAAAGGGCTTCAGTTTCTATTTGCAAACTGAATCTACATCTAATATTTTTTCTTTTACTTAAAAGTTAAAAAATCAGTTTTAATAACTGATATTTGCGGCTCTTAAGTAGTCCTGTCACAAATCTGTTACCTCTTAATTATTTCTAAGTGCAATTTCTGCTTTGTATGAGGATAGTATTATGTAATTCTGGAATTAGGAAATGCTTTGAGAACAAGTTGTTCTTTACTTCTGAGACAACTAAAAACTTTTTCATTAATAATCTAAATCCACAGCAATGCTTTTCTGGTAATAAAACTTCCAGAACTAAAGCATTGTTTTAAAATGTAAGAGTAGGTGATAACTTTTATTGGACTACTAAAAATAAAGTGTTTTGGTGTACGGCACAGTATCTATATTTTAAATTTTCCACCCCACCCCTAGTGAATCAAGGAATAGCTATGTTATTCTGAAGTCTTCTGGGTAATCGCTATGTTTTGGGGAACTATGGAAAAGTAGGCCATCCACTGCCTGATTCCTCCCACTTCACAGGCAACAGATGGCCTGTTTATGCATTTGATTCGATGCAATCTATTAGGCAAAGAAAAGTTCACTGTAAAGGGGCCCTATAAAGTAAATACACGGTGTGCAAAAGGAAGAAGAACATAGTGTGTTTGGTGCAAGAATTTTGAAACAGGAGTTCTTTAGGCAATAGCATTTCTGTGCTTAAGGAGTTTGGGATCCTAGGCCAGTGGATATAGGCCACACTATATTGTCCTTCTACTTTAGGTCTTCAGTTTAGCATCACCATCTCCACCTTTTTTCATATTTCTGCCAAATAAATTAATTTCCCCAAATACAACTGTTCAAATAAAATTCTTAGCATGTTACCTGTTAGTTTTTATATATTTAAACATTTGTTTTTTTATCCACCAAGTAGCAGAGCCCTTCCCTTGATTCTAACTTGTTTAGAGATGACAGCTGAGGTAGAGGTGTTGTACCCTGTTTTCCCGAAAATAAGACCTAACCTGAAAGTAAGTCCTAGTATGATTTTTCAGGATGCTCGTAATATAACCCCTACCCCCAAAATAAGCCCCAGTTAAGAGAAGCCCTGCCCTCCACCAGAAGGGAAATCAGAAGAAGATGACATGACTGTGTTTGAATAAATATAGATGGTTGTACATGAAAAAAATCCCCTGAAAATAAGCCCTAATACATCTTTTGGAGCAAAAATTAATGTAAGACCCTGTCTTATTTTCGAGGAAACACGGTAGCTTTTACATTTGTAATGGCAATGGGCAATCAGATGTTGGACAGAAGCCAAATGTTATTGAAAATTCTGCCTGGCAGTTGCATTACATTGTGCTTTATATCTGTACCTGACCTTCAAAAAGGATTGGCTACTTTCCAGATTCTTCTGTCTCCATTGGCTGAAGGAAAATTGAATAAGTGCTGTTAGCTTTGTTGGTGAATGGTTTTTTTAGGTGTGAGACATTTAACTGTTTAGTTACAGATTTATAATGCAAAAATGTAAAGATTTTACAAAAACAGTTTCATTTTCTGTCAAAAGAGAGTTCACTGAATCATTGTAAACAGCCTCTGTACATTCAGTAATAAATGAGAGTGGTGATGTTGAGATAGGGAGTCAGTTGTTAATTCCTGTGTTTTTCAAAGTACTGTGATTATTGCTCAAGAGCATCTGTGGTAATCATTTGGCTGTTGTCACTAATTAAATCTGTGCTTACTAGCCATACATCTCTCTGATCAATGAATGCATGTCCCAAATGCTAATAGTGTGCTGCAGGACCAACATAATGCCATGTCCTGCCTCCACACAACTGCTGGAGAAGCTGTCTTACACAGGAGCAAGAGAGCAGTGATGTTGTAGGCACCTCCTTAACCAAATCTAATTGAAAGAGCGCTTATAAGACTTCATACAGAGTAGGCAGACATAACATCCCTCTATTCCCCAAATAGAGGAAATGTGTTCATACTGAAATGTACATATGAGAGGAGCTGTGTCTTTTCAGTAGTGTCATTATGTACTACAATAGTAATTGCTAGTATGTTCATATTTATATGCCACCCGCCTTAAAGAATTTTTGCACTGTGTGTACAAGTCTAACCCCTTTCATCCTCACAACTAATCTATGAAATAGGTTGAGCTAAGAAGTGATGAGTGTTAGAATCAAGTGCGGGATCCTAGTTTCCTAGTCCAAGTACAATAGTTCAGCTGTTCCTGTACACAGTCTCTAGCTAATGCCTGTAATACTTGGGCAACTAGATCTTGCAAGATGATTGAGGGCATATCCATATGGAGGAAGTTGGAGCATCCTGGCTTGTGCTTAAAAGTGAGATTATTTAGTGAGATTATTTTATCTCTCACTAGAAAAATCCTTTCATTCATACTAGTTTTTTTCTCCCATGAGAAGGGTCCAGACAGATCTTTGGGTTGTCCTAATTTGTCCCCGTTTTGATTAATGATACTCCACTTCCTGTCCCCTTCCCCACCTTTTCCAGTGGCCATCGTTCAGTGGTCTGTGATGATTTTCCTTTTTTGTTATTGTTCACTAAAGAGATATATTGAGACAGCAGTGTATTTACCTAGCTTAGTACACATTACACCGTTGTATCCTGTTTATTCAGAATATTCATCAATAGGGAAATATATATGCTAAATTTATAATTATAGAATGGATCAAAATAGACAAACAGTTCTCCACAGGGTGGATTTGGTTTAAATCATGATTTAAATTTTTTATAAACTGGATTTTTGACAATTTAAATTAATTTGATTTTTAAAAAAATCATTGATTTTTTATCCATTCTGGTTCTCTGTTGTCTCTTTCAGCAAATACTTCACAGGGTTGTTACCTGAGATAACATGTCTCATAGCTCTAGTTTGGTGGAAATTAATTATCTGCATGTGCTACATAATGAGCTAAATAGGAGTGCTCCAAATATTATTTAAAAATCTGTAGCTCTATGTCTGCGTCAAAAAAGAGCAGGACAGCTTCAGAAGGGGAAGTGGGGGTGCTCTTTGAACTGCTTTTGGTGCTGTTTGGTTTATGTCATCTGTCAAAACACTTGTGGATGACATAAAACAAACAGCACCAAAAGCAGTTCAAATAGTGAGCTATTCTGCCAGTGCAGATGTGACCTAAGATACTGTTTAAATACATTAGCAGTGCTATAGAACAGTGGTCGGGGAACAGGGGTAAATTACCCCAAACGGGGTAAAAATGAAAATCCTGGGGGGAATGAGCAGAGCACTACCCCCCCACTCCCACCCCCTACAGTCGAACCTCAAACTGGAAGCCACCTCTCCCTCCTTCCTTGGTTGCGCCCAGGCAGTTAATCCATCCGGCTTGGGAATGACTGCTTCCGCGGGAGGTGACTGCAAGCAGGAGAAGGGAAAGCACCAGTTAAGGAGGGAAGGAAGGTGTGAGAGAGCAATGGATGGCTTCAGCAGCTTGTTTAAATGTATGTAGAAAATTGAGGGAGGGAG